TCTCTTGGCATGGCTAGTAATATGGCAGCTGGCAGTTGTAAGATTATATCCTTGCAGCTTACTATCTGCAAAGCAAGAGGTCCTATCTCTAAAGGATCGATCAAATCTACCGGAAAGACACTATCTCCACATGCCTGTGAACCAGGCTAGCCAGATTATTTGCCCACCCTACAAAAGAGAAGGAAGGAATACTATAATTGACAGACTCAGTAGGACTACCTGGAGGCAGGGAGAAGCAGTTCTCCAATGACTGTGATTCTGCACCAGCAAACAACATATATTCTCTCTAAAATATAACTGAACTTTTTTGGCCAGAGCAGCTAGATTTATTCACTGTTTTTGTCTCCGTTAGATATTAGTAGACCTGTACTTGAGATTTATAGCCATATAAATAGCTCCATAGCGACCAGCCTAGATTATTATCTTTATTTAAAAAGGCAGTAGAATTTAGAAGTGAAGACAGAGAACAGGAGGCCCAATTGCCTAGATTTAAGTCCATATTCCACAATTCACCTCATACGTTACTTCTCTATTTCCTCTGAAAATGAGGATAACAACACCTCACAGGAATATTTTGAGGATTAAATGTATACATATAAATGTACTTAGAAAGTGCCTTCCATAGAGTAAGTGCTCAGTATTATGTGTAATTATTTCATATGTACATAAATTTATAAGAACCTATATGGTATTTGTATAAACACAAGCTTCGCATGGAAAGACTATGTTAAGAATGATTTTTACATGAACCCTTTCTAACCAACGGTCAAATCTTAATGCTCACCCTACCTGACCTATCAGTGCCATTAGCTATGCTAATCACTCCCTCCTCCATAATACACAGTTGGTCCTCTGTATTATGAGTTCTGCCTCCACAGCTTCAACCAAGTGTGGATCAAAAATATTTGAAAAAAACATTCCATCTATGCTGAAAATGCACAGACTTTTTCTCTTGTCATTATTTTCTAAACAATACAGTATAACAACTACTTATATAATATTTACATTGTATTCAGTATTCTAAGTAATCTAGAGATGATTTAAGGAATACAGGAGGATGTGCATAGGTTACATGAAAATACTATGTCATTTTATATATGGGACTTGAGTATCTGCAGATTTTGGTTTCTGAGGGATGCCAAGGGAAGACTTAGGACTCCACACTCATGGTCTTCCTCCTAACTGAATGCTCCTTCTAAGTCTCCTTTGCTGGTTGTTTTTCTCAGACCTCTTAATGCTGCAGTACCCCAGAGCTCAGTCCTTATACCTGTTTTCTGCTTAGACTCACTCTCTTGCAATCTTATCTAGTCTCTTGGTCAATGAACTTCCAAATTTTAATTTTCGGCCCAATTCTCTCTCTTGATCCTAGACTTACATATCCCACTCTCTACTTTGTAACTCTATCTTAAGGTCAATTCAAATTCAATTTTGTCCAAAACTGAACTCCTAGTCTTCCTCGAAAACCTCAGAAAATCTCAGTTATTCTTTACCTGTCTCTAACACCCACCAGGAACTCCTACTCACTCAATCTTTAACACAAACCTACACTCTAACCGCTTCTTATTACCTCTACTGCCACCATCTAGCTCCCAGCCAATATCACTTCTTGACTACTATAAAAAGCTCCTAAGTTAGAAGTATCCATCCAGCTTCTACCCTTGTCCCACTAATCTGTTATCAAAACAGCAATCAATGTGAGGATTCAAAGCATGTTAGATCATTCTACTCAATTCGAACCCTCCAATGGCTCCCCATTTCACTCAGAGTAGGAGACACAGACACCTTACTGTGGCCTAGAAGGCCCCACATGATCAGCCCCACCCTCATTACCACCCTGAACTTAACTCCCACAGTTCTCCTCCTTGCTCCAGCCACACTGGCCTCCTTGCTGCTTCTCAAATACACAAGGTCTACATCTGGCCTACGGTCCTGATACTGGCTTTCTGCCTGACACACACTTCACCACCATATGTGTATATTCCCTCAAACTTCAAGTTCACTCAAATATCATGGTCTTGGGCTGGGCACAGAGATCCATGCCTATAATCCCAGCACTCTGGGAGGCCAAGGTAGGTGGATCACGTGAGGTCAGGAGTTCAAGACCAGCCTGGCCGACATGGAAAACCCCTGTCTCTACTAAAAATATCAAAACTAGCTGGGCATGGTGGCACACACCTATAATCCCAGCTACTCAGGAGGCTGAGGTAGGAGGATCACTTGAACTCAGAAGGCGGAGGTTGCAATGAGCCAAGATAACACCACTGCACTCCAGCCTGGTGGACAGAGTGAGACTGTCTAAAAAAAAAGCCACCTTCTCAACGAGGCCTGCCCTAACCACTGTATTTAAAAATCAGTTCCCACCACCACCACATCATCCCAAATTCTCCTTAATCTGTTCTTGCCTTTTTCCATACTACTTTTCATCTTTAAGCAAACTTTGTAATTTCTGTATTATGTTGCCTGTTTATTGCTGGTTTCCCCCATAGGCAATGTGTGCTCCACAAGAGCAAGTATCTTTATCTACTGTATTGACTGCTGTATCTTTATACATCTATATGCCTGACACATACTATGTGCTCATTAAACATACAGCAAGTTAAGTATTTACTGAATGAATCTTTCCCCACATTCAACTTTACCTTTGCATTTCCATACTATAGACCACACTATTTTAAGTGTTCATTCAGATGCAAAGAAGGAAGCCAAGACAGCCTGATAAGGGTAGAAATGGGTATGAGGTAACACGAAACTGAAGAGATCATGTGTTAAGAAGAAAAAGTCGGCCGGACACTGTGGCTCACGTCAGTAATCCTAGCACTTTGGGAGGCCGAGGTGGGTGGATCACCTGAGGTCAGGAGTTCAAGACCAGCCTGGCCACCATGGTGAAATGCCACCTTAAAAAAAAAGAAAAAGTCAAATTTACAAAATGTCTGATTTATATTATCAATATGCCTTATACTGGATTACTAAATTACAGACCAATTCCCATATTATTATGTCCAAAGTCCAGAGAGCAACTCTTTTAAGAAATATTCTAGAGTCTTTTAAAACTAGAAGTGTCCTGAGATGGCAATTGTCTCCTTCACCAAATAAAGTGGGGAAATAAAATCTTTAAAACTTTTCCAGGATAAAACAACTAGTTACACGAGAGCTCAGAACCACTGGCATCTGAAACAACTCAACTCTCATATAAGCAGATGACAAGTTTTCCTCATCTATAGAAAGCTGTCATCTGACACATGGATCTGTTCCCTTGAAAGATTTGCCAAGGTCTTCTCTTGGCTACAACAATCTATGACCACGAGTGATTACAATTTGGAGTTTATAAAACCAGAGTTTTATTTTATTTATTTATTTATTTATTTATTCTTGAGACAGAGTTTCACTCTTGTTACCCAGGCTGGAGTGCAATGGCGCGATCTCGGCTCACCGCAACCTCCGCCTCCTGGGTTCAGGCAATTCTCCTGCCTCAGCCTCCTGAGTAGCTGGGATTGCAGGCACATGCCACCATGCCCAGCTAATTTTTTGTATTTTTAGTAGAGACGGGGTTTCACCATGTTGACCAGGATGGTCTCGATCTTTTGACCTCATGATCCACCCGCCTTGGCCTCCCAAAGTGCTGGGATTACAGGCGTGAGCCACCACGCCCGGCCCCAGACTTTTATTTTTACTGTATAAAAATTCATTGTCAGACTCACTGAGGTATAATTCACTTACATATAGTAAAATTCGGGGTGTCTGTTTTTTAGGTGTTCGCTTCTATTAATTTTGACAAATACATACAGTCATGAAACCACTACCACTATCAAGATATAAAATGTTTCATCACCCCAAAAAGTTCCCTCCCCAACCCCTATCCTTTAGCAACCATTAATCTTTCTTCTTGCCTTATATTTTTAACCCTTTCCCAGATGACATATAAATGAAACCATATAATATGTAGCCATTTGAGTCTGGCTTCTTTCATTTTGTATAATGCATTTGAAAGTCATTATCTTGTTGCATATTTTGGTACATAAGCCAAGCTAAAAGGTGTGTAGTGGTTTTTCATTGCAGTTTTAAATTTGCATTTCCCTAATGACTAATGCCATTGAGCATATTTTCCTGTATCACGTAAATCTTAAGAAATGTTCTCACAATTAAACAACTACTTTCCCACTGAATGAATTAGCAGGGGAAAGAGGGCTGGGGCACAAGATTTTTAAACTTCTGTTATGTATTCATCATAAGGCTATGAGAAGATCTATGAAATAATACATATGAAAATGTTTTAGAATATATAAAGTACTATTATAAATATAAGGGACTATAATTGTTATTAAGTACTAGAAAGTTACCAGATATAAGAAGTGCACCAGAGGACTCACTCTCTCCCACATAGAAGATGAATAAAACACTGCAGTCTGACCTGCCCTAGCTATACTATCTCTGTCTTTTGGAGTTGTCCTGAATTAAGCTAGTTGTGTTGGAGATAAAGTCCTGTTTTCAAGCATAAATGTTACTTTTCTTTTCATAGCCAATATAACCAAGCAGTTCAACATTCAATAATAACAAGAGATAAATTTATTATTTTAGTGTAAAAAGATAGAGCTAACTTCTGAGCTGGTTCTTCCTCCTGTGACTGACATCTCACACCTAAACAAGTTTTCAGGTTCCTGAAAACTAAAAAGATGACTTCTCCATTTGTCTTTTAAGAGCCTCTACCTTTAAGTGATAAATGAATTGAATTTTACTGAAAAAGAGTCCCTAATGCAAGAGTTTCTAACAAGTAAATAAATAAAAGCAAAATCACCTATTTAAGATTCCTCAAAACATCTGGATAGACAGGCTGACAAAAACTAATAGGAAACCACCTACGGGGACTCCAGATCTGAATAAATACTGTCAGACCGTACTAGATATCTCCCTCCCAATGCAAGCAACTAATAGGCAGAAACACCAATGATTTAGAGTACGGTTCCAGTTGAGAATATTATTCGACACCTAAAGGGAAAGCTTACCTTTCTTTCTTTTAATAGTTTCTTATAGCCATTTGATCCAAGTGATAATAAAGTAATAAGGACATCTAAAGAAGGTGAAGCTGAAGCTCTTCCTGAAATAAGAAGGATACGTTACATTAAGGAGATTAAGGGCGGTGGCTTTGGAAATTAAGATTTATTACAGTAGCCAATGTACAAATGGATTTTTGTTTATTACTTTTTCTGAAAAGCAGTTTATTTATTTACCTGGATACATCTTGCTGATTTCCTGAATGAAGGAATCATTAAAGCCAGCAATTATAGCGCCACCTACTGGAACCATAAAATTTTTGTCCAAGCTCTGAACAAAAGCATCTATTCTACCAACTCGAGCCCCCTAGAATCAATATAATAGTACATATTAGTTGGAAAACAGACAACTGCTATTAGCAAATGAACACCATAACAAAAAATTGTATTGGGGTAATTAATATATTAGCCTGATTTAACCATTTCACAATATATACATGCATTGAATGTATATATTGTACATACATCAAATTGTACACCGTAAATATATACAATGTTTGTCAACTCTACCTTAGACTAAAAATAAACACTATTAAAACAATGCATAGAAATAAAAAACAATTGAAAATTTTTATTTCCTTTGTTATAGTGCCAATAAAATGTTTTTAAGTATTAAACCAAAATTTTTGATGGTGCTCCTTACATGTGGGACTTTAATTTACAACCTGCTTTCACACATAAATCATTTAATCTTCATAACAACTCTGTGAGGCAAACATGGTTTAAGTATCAGCTCAGGTGGGAACTTTAATGAAACGGAGCTTTACACCTTAAAATTGGGTAAGTGAGAATGAATTCATCCCTTGCCTCCCATCTGTACTCCTTTTTTGACAACGAATGTCTACAATGGGTCCTATAACTATTAAGTGGTTTTAAACACCCTCTGTGAGTTCAAGGGTGGCCACCATAACCTAATGGACTGTAGTCATCCAAGTTGCCAAAGAGTTAATTATACATGTGCCTCTCTTTAATGCTTGGACAATCTACTACCTATATGACCATTTTAAGCACTGAGATAACAAAAAAGAAAAGCAAAACTTTTAACATTACTTATTGGAAATTTCATTTGATTACTCTTGGCAATCCTAGAAGCAATGTTTCTATGTAACTCATACTCCCTAATATTATAAACTTAGATGATTTCATTCCACTGCAAATGAACTTCCAGTGAAAATCTAATATTCTGGTGAAAAATTGAATACTTGCCTACTAGAAATGCAAAACTCAGTTCTGGTCCCCATCCAACACAGTCTATGACCTTCTGTCTAATGTGCTTCAATTTTCTCCTCTTAAAAATAGAGATACTATCTAAATTACAACTAAGATAGTCTTTATCTGTAGCCACAGATTTTCAATCTGTATTCACAATCTGCATTCCTCTTAATATTATAACCATATTTGACCTTCATTTTCACACCTCACTATCTCAGGGAGAATAGAAGGAGGAGATAGCTGGCCTATCTAAGAGTCCAGATCCAGGCGTAGATGAAAGCAGCCAAAGCAGGAAAGAGGAGTGGCTGCTCTGGAGGCCATGATACAACTGTTCAAATCTTAACCTTCCTCTTCCTCTTCTTTCTAATTTCCTAATAAACCATGATCAGAGAAAAATCTCACCATATCACATGAAAACAGAAGCAGATAAGACTAACAGAATAAAAAATCCTGGAAAACATGTGAAGTAGTAGCATATAAAAATAAGTGGAACAGAGTTGCTTTTGAATTAACAGTAATGTCCAAGGCTTCCTGAGAGAAACAGGAATCTAAATTGGAAGCAGAAGTGCTGGAGGAACCAGTGCACCAGACTTTGCTAGAATCCTTCCATCACTAAAACACAGAAGGTATTCAAAGGGCAGCATACTCTGTGGCAAGAAAACAAACAGGCCAGACCCAATCTCAGAAGTGGTTCAGAGACCCCCTCTTTCAGCTACATAAGTCACCAGTATATGATCTAAAATTCACACTCAAAATACATCTGAATAAAACCATTTATTACCACCTTCACAGCTACTACCCTGGCCAAAGCCACCAAGAAATTTCATATGGGTTGCTGCACTAGCTTCTACGCTTGCCTCCCTACAGTCTGTTTCCCACATAGCACATCACTCTTTCCTGCTTGAAATCCTTCCACGGCCAACGATCCTATCAAGAATCAAATCCCAAACCCTTAACACACCTTAAAGCTCTACAACCACTGTTCACCTTGTTCATTATGGTTCAGCCATATTGGCCTCCTTGCTATTTCTCACACATTCCAAGCACACTCCTGCCTAAGAGTCTTGGCTGTTAGCTTCTGTCTGGAATCTAGAGAGCTTCAAAGCTTCCTCCTTCACGTCATTCAGAGCTCCACTCACATTCTTGAAGAGCGCTTCCTAGATCACACCATCTAATGATATCCCTCCCTCCCAAATACCTGAGCATTTATCCAAGACCTGTCATACTCAAGGTTTACTGTCTGCTTTCCCACAAAAAAAACAGAATGCTCCATGACAGTTAAAGATTTTGTTGGATTCACTATTTCATCTCCAGTTCCTACCCTCGTGCCTGGTACACAAGTAGGAACCCAGTAAACATTTGTTGAATGAAGTGACAATTAGGTCTGTGAATAAACAGTAGTAACGCCTACTTCCCTCAAGTTCTTAATAGGCAAAGTTGCTGCTTCCCACACTTTTGGAGTTTTACAATCCATTATGGCTCAAATAATTAGTCTCATACACATATTTTTGTGACTTTACTATATCCCTCTCCATTAATCTATTCTAACATCCATACTCCATGAATCTCTTAGTCATTGTAGTAAATATAAACAGAAATATAGGTTATTCAAAACTAACTTCCCTGGGGGCTACATGTGCATACAGAACACTCTATATGCTCAGTATTAAGGTATTCTGGGGTCTCTCCTTAAAAATAAAAAAAATTAAAAACATCTTAATAAAAATAAAAAACATTTTATAGTTTTTCTTCATATATTTATTGTAATATTATTTTCTCAAGAAAAGACTTACGGTATTAGCACTTTGTTTTTCAACAGAAAAATGGGACTTTGGAGTCACACTGAACTAGATGGGCTATTTTGTAGCTACAGACCCTGGGCAAGTCACTTAACCCCATTTAGTTTATTTCTCTGCGTGCAGAATGGGAAGTAGTAGTACACCTAAAATTGTTAGGTCTCAGTTAACAACTTTAAAAGCCTAGTAAGATGCCTGACACATGGAAAGTGTAGTAAATGGTAAATATTAACAATAAGGACTATTGAGATGAATTAAAGCTAACTGTAATTTTTTAGACTGTCATGAAACAGCAACCAGCACTCAATAAGACTCAAGTATTTATTTGATTTAAATCAATAGTGCCACAAACTCTTTTGGTGAACGCCAATTTGGGAAAAATAGAATGTTTATGTATTTGCTCTTTTTGTTTTAAAGGAATGTCCAATTTAATAAGTTCTCATGTTCAACAGCACAGTAAAGATACTACAGTTAACAACAACATATTGTATATTTCAAAATACCAAGAAGAGAGGATATGAAATGTTCCTCTCTTCTTGGTATAGCCTAAATACTCTGACTTAACCATCACATAATCTGTACATGTATCAAAATATCATATGCACTCCATAAATATATCCAAATATTATGTATCAAAGAAAAATTTTTAAAGGAATGTCAACTTTAGAAGGTAATACATTATCTGCAACAATGTCTGCATTTAAAAGTTTATTCACCCAACTTATAGTTTTATGCTTTGGTTAAAATGTTAGTAAAATCGCCTCACAAATGCAGAGAGGTAATGACAAAGCAGAGTATTGAAGATGCACAGCTCCAAGGGCAGCTTTCTTATCGTATTCTGGAGCTTTTTTTTTTGTCTTTTTTTTTAAAGAGATGGTCTCACTCGGTTACCCAGGCTGGAGTACAGTGGTGTGATCATCAGTCACCATAACCTCGAACTCCTACGCTCAATTAATCTTCCTGCCTCTGCCTCCCACATAGCTGGGATTACAAGAACACATCACCACACCCAGATTATTTTTTCCTAATTTTAGTTTTGTAGAGATGGAGTCTCACTTTGTTGCCCAGGGAGGTCTCAAACTCCTAGCCTCAAGTGATCTGCAAGCTTCGGCCTTCTAAAATACTGGAATTACAGGAGTGAGCCACTATACCCAGCCTCTTTTAGTTTTAATCTCTTCAAGTGCACCACCAAATTTTCTAGTATTTAAAAATATGTTATGAGTATCATTAAAATGATCATTATGAAGACTTTACAGGCATCTGGAGAGTACAGAAATATAATGTTAAAAAATTAAATGTACACAATTAATATGACTATGTAAAAGCAATATGCATATGAAACGAGAAAAAGTAAATATATAAATTGTTAAGGGTATTTCTTAGGGTTATAGTGTTATGAATTATCTTCTACTCCTTCCTCATTTTCCTAAACTTTTAGTAATGATGGTATTTGACTTTTAAAAGAAGAGAAGCTGCTAAAAACTACAGAGAAGAAGAGCAAGGAGGAAAGGGAGGGGAGGAATAAAAATCAATCACTGAAATAAAATGTTCTTCAAGATTTCCAGTGTAGAAAATTGTACACCCTTCCTCTATGACCATACGAGTTAGATACAATCTAGTATAGATTAAGTGAAGAAGCCTTAAAAAGTTAGGGTGTAACAAAAAGAAATACCAAGGAAATGGTAAACAGTCTTTCTCTAAACGTTTTAAGAAATCCTGACATGCCATGCCTACAATCCAAGCCACCTCTGGACTTGCTACATAAATTAATCCATTTCCTTATTGGTTTAATGCACCTTGAGTTGAGTTTCTGTTACTTGCTGCCAATGACATACTAACTGATACAAACTTCAGTAAAGAAATTAAGCAAACCAGCGATTACTATTTCATATAAACCACATTTATGTAAAAGATGATACTGATATACTCAAAATGACATAAAAGACAAAAAAATAACTAGATAGTTATCTATTGTGCTTCAGAGCATTTACCATATTGGAGCAGGCCACAGGTAATCTGTGAATAACTTATGCCCACATAACACAAATCACATGTATGTCAAAACTGAATATGTATATTAACATCATTACGCACACAAACTATGTAGCCCATATCATACATGCATAAATACAATACTTCATTTATTCACTGACTCTATTTAATAACCAGTTATTGATTGTCCATTATGTACCAAATTCTGTCTTAAGTATTGAGGGCACAGCAGTGAACAAAACAAAGTTCTACCTTCTACCCCCAACAGAACCTTAATTCTAATTACTGTCAATAACTAGACAATAAACAAACATTACATCAAGTGTTGATAAGTGTTCTGGAGAAAAATAGCAAAAAGTCAACAATTTTAAAAAGCATCATTATTTTATATGTCACTAAGAAAAAACATTACCTGTTAACATTGTAAGACACCACTGACTATAAGACATCACAATTTCAAATGTCAAAATGTAGAACACTACATCTTAAAATCAATGAACATGGTAAAAAAAGAGAGAGAGAGATAGAAAATGCTAGCAAGGGCTAGACACAGTGGCTCCCATCTATAATCCCAGCAATTTGGGAGGCCAAGGTGGGAGGCTCGCTTGAGCCCATGGGTTCAAGACCAGCCAGGGCCACATGACAAAACCTCATCTTTAGAAAAAATACAGAAAGTTGGCTGGGGTTGGTGGCGCACACCTGTGGTCCCAGCTACCCGGGAGGCTGAAGTAGGAAGATCACTTGAGCCTGGGAGGTTGAGGCTGCTGTGAACTGCAAATGCACCACTACACTCCAACATGGGCAACAGAGTGAGACCCTAATCTCAAAAATAGAAATAAAAAAGTAGAAAATGCTAGTGAGAAAGGGGAGGTGTTAGATAGGGTTTGACATGTATGTCAAAACTGAGTATATATATTAACAACATTATGCATATAAACTATATAGCCTGTAACATACCTGCATAAATAAACACAGTATTTCATTTATTCATTCGCTTGGTTCAGTAATCAGTTATTGATTGTCAATAATAACAATCACATATAGAGTTTCTGAGGAAGTCTCACTGACCTAAAGAAAGTTATGCAGCTCTCTAGAAGAGCAGTCCAGTGAGTGGGATAAGCAAGAGCAAAAGCCTGGAAATGCACACATACGACGAAATGGAAGAAAAGAAAGGCAGCAAGGGTGGTTGGAGCAGAGAAGGCAAACGGAAAGCAGTAGAAAATGAAATCAGTAAATCAGCAAAGGCCTTAATATACAAAGCCTTGCAGGCCATAGTTCTTACTATAAGTGACATGGGAAACACAGACATAATTTCAAAATTAGAACCTAAAACAAATGACCAGAATCTAGTTGATGCTTAAAAAATAATACAAAAACCTGCCAATTCCATAGCTATACTAGAATGTTTATAAATGAAGTCATTTCTAGCCTAAGATAATAAGGTACAATAATTCCTTAAATATAGAAGAAATCACATATTTTTAAAAATGGTATAATCTAGTATATTAGAAAAATGAGAATGAAACATTCTCAGAAAGTTAAAAGCTAAACTACTAAAGTATCTCTATGTTGATTCTAGTCTACTACCAAAGCTATCAGTCCAATTACCACCATAGTACAAAGAATAATGACTTTGACTGAGAGATTATCAGATGCAGATTCCTAATACTCCCTAAAGCAGATGGTGATAAATAACTGTTTTTACTCTATCAATTTGTAGAAAAAGTAACAATCCTATAATATGTGAAAATGAATTTTTCCTTGACATATATATCATTTTAAATTCTTACCTGCTGAATGAGGTGCATACACTTTGAAGACTGCACTCCATAAGCATTATTGACTATATGTGGAATGCCAAAATTAGCACAAATCACAGCCAGTTCTTCTAGTCTATAAACATAAATATTCAATAGAAAGGCATACTCACACTGTGCTTTATAAATGATAGTGCAGAAACTTAAAAAAAAAAATTAATAGTTATCCTTAATGTACACCAAGGGAAAAAACGATAAACACTGAGATTTCTATTGCAGTAAACTAGGAAATACATAGCAAGCTCTTTCGAATAAACCTAAAAAAGCTGTTAATGTTATCAATAAATGGAAAAAAATACAAAAATTTATGGAGATGGTAACTTTTAAATCATCTTAAAATTAAAAATTCCCTAAATAGAAAGCCAGAAGATTATTGATAATGACCCTCACAAGGTGGTATGAGCTTTTTCTCCCAACACTTTTGGTTGCTTACCATTCTGAAGCTTGTATCTGCAAAATAATTAGCAACTCTGGAAATCTTAAGAAATCTCACATTAAACATCTCATAAAATAAAAAATGCATTCTCAAATAGACTTTAATGTATTAAAAAATACAGAACATTAAAATGTGTCATTACCAAAATAACATTTTCCAACAACTTGAATACTGAGGAATCTTTTAAATAGCTACTGGTTTTAAATCCACCCTTATCTACTCTTACTTTTTCATTTTACACCTCTCATATTAATCTAATTTGACAGTCTAACTTTATGCAAAGTAAGGTAATAAATTTCAGTGAGAGCATAATAAATAGATGTTCTTTCACAAAGCCAAATACTTCTTGTGACTGAGCTCATCTTTAATAGAAATGTCCTCCTGCTATGAAAGTAAAACTAAATCCTATGTTTTAGAAAAGTTATTAAAAGTTTTCTCTCTAAAGTATAAAGAATTTGAAAGCATTTTTATACAAGTAAAGTCCTTTCCAACAGGATATATTTCAAATATATAGTCTGAATTACCTATTTACGCATAACACATGTTCTTTACCTACTAGATGTCATTAATATATTGCTAACTATAAGGAGGAATAATACTATTATGTTCATCTGTCACAAGTTTTCTTTTTTTGTCCAGTTTGCCTCAGACCAAAAGCGAGTTATCAATTTGCTTCCTTGAAGTCTCATGAACTCAAAACTCATTTTATCACTCATTTTTACAAACCCTACAAATAGACACAAAAATCATTTTTGTTACTTCAAACTAATCAGATGATTTTTTTTTACATAACAGACCTTCTGGGATACACAGAAGTATTTTCTTCATAAAATAAAGGGTGCATGTTCTAATGAAAATATTCCTTAATAAAGGACTTCTTTGAAAATAAGGCTCTATAACACTACATTCTATTTAAAAAATTAAAAAAAATCACTTGTGAGTAGTTTTAAATAATCTGAATTACTTAGATCTGTTAATGGTTAGGGTGTGTTTCAAAAAAGTATTTAAATGAAAGAAGAAACAGAAAAAATATTTTTCATATGAATCAAACTGTTTTCTAACTTAGAAGCCAATGTAAGGTGTTTATCAGTTAGAAGAAATACTCTTCTTTTTTGTAACATTTCCTTTAAGTGAATTTCCTCCACAATACTTTTTGTCTGATTAAATAACTAATAAAAACAAAATGTATACTGCACCCAAAAAATTAAGACTATAAAGGAATAAAGCTTGATGTAAAAAAAATCAAAACATAGTTTTAAAACTTAATAAAGTCAGAAATTCAAACATTACTGTGCATCACCCTTTTCCTACTTCACTCCTACTCAGAAATATTCATTACACAACAATGACAAATTAAAATTTTTCTAACTGATAAAAAACTGTATGAAATTTTTTCTAAAGGAGATAATACAGGTAGAACACTTAACACTGTGCCAGGCATACTATAAAATTCAAAAGACATTAGTCAAAATGAAACAAAAGGAAAGTATCCACAAGGATAAATAATCCAATTAATACAAATATCCATATGCTGTTTTTCAAAATGTGATTTCTATCACATTAAAAATTTTATAGATATCAAAACCATCACTAAAAAAAGATGCGTATTTAATATTTCAATACAAATTTGAAATCTGATTGGTAAGTGATGAATAAACCACAATAGCATATGCAAAGTAATCTTAAAATAGAGTTCGCAGGCTCATGAATGTAACAAGGTAAATTTTTAAGAGCCTAGTTTAAAAACTGTCTCCTACAATCTGCCTATAAGATAATAAAAGCCAACATGGCATTCATCACTGCCAAATAATGTGATTCCATGAATTAAAACCAAAGTATAACTTTATGCTACAAGAAAAGTCCAAAGTCAATATAGTTCTTACAAATTATTACCACTTCCATTCAAAATGTTAAAATGAACCAAAAAAAATTGTAGTCAAAACCAGAAATCTTATTACCAAACCTGAGTCTATTACATTTGCAGAATAAAAATCTGTGACTATCCTTTAGAAAAGTAAACATTTGCTTTCTTTCTTTTTTGCTTTTTTTTATGTTTATATCGTTCCCAAAATGTAGACAATGACAACCACTATGCACATGTAAGTATACATCTGAGTTAATCTTCCAATTACAGAAATTTGAAAGTGAACAACCCTAAATATTTTTTAATTAACACTGATAGCAATGAAAAGAAGTAAACCCAATATTTATCTTAGAAAAGAAGCTTCTATTAAATAATAAGAAAAAAGATGCTAAGAAACCAGAAACAGGATAAAGAGCAAGAAAACAAAGATGGCCTGCATCTACTCGGTGATAAAGGGCGCTCCCAACCCATACTAGTTGTTTTCCTTGTTCTATTTCAAATGTTTATTTTCCCAAGCCACTCCCCTATTTCTCCACAAGGTCAATCTGTTCTCTTAGAACAGGCCATTCACCTATTTACTACGAAGTGTTATTTAAGCATATTTGAGAATTAGTATATCATACTTTATTTAAAAGACTGATAAACAGCTAAAAGACAATATTCACAGATCATTTACCTATCAGGCACCCTCGGAGCAAAACAGGATGTAGTAGAATGAATACACAGAATGTTATCAGGCCCAAGTTCCTGGACTTTAGCCTTTACTGCTTGCAGGTCTGTACGCAGCTCGTCACCTTCCAAAACATTTTCTATCACCACAGGCTCAAAACCTAACCAACCAGAAAACAAAATGTTAGTGTGAACTAAAATAAGGGAAGATCCTGAAACTCTAGGAAGCATGCTATTTTACACAAGAACTCTTTAATATTTTTGTTGGTAGATTAACCTTCCTCTGGTAATAAACATGCGGCTCACTTCTGGTATTAGTCAAAGGAAGGTCAAAATAATGTGAAGGACAACTACACAATTTTAGCACCATATGTCTATTTAACACTTCAATATGACAAGAATGAATTCTGGAAAGTAAGGAAAATAAAAGTTAAACAGATATCTATAGAAGTAATAACACAGACACTGATAACAAAAAGGATCACTTTAATCCAGTTCGATTTCAATCCACAGAAAAGTAAGTCCACTCATTCTCTGGCAATATTTGTTTTATTTTAAAATTCACTTTATTTCAGACAGGACATAAATAATAATATAATTCAATTACTGAAACAAATCACAATCATCCACTTAATGTTTTATCTCCAAAGAAAAACATAATAAATTTCAGCAGCCTAAGGGTCACTGATTCATCTCACAGCCTACAAAAGCCTTCTATTAAAACAAAATGTATACTGTAAATTTTTCATAATTTAAAGATAAAAATTGTTTTCACACTTTCAATTAAAACAGGACGCTTAACTAGCATATAAGCAAAGGTCCCTCAACAAGTAATAATTGAGTAATATTTTATGGTAGATATTTATCCATAAACTTAAAAGTTACATAAAGCAATACAAACACTAAATTTTTTTACATATATTTTACCACAATTTTTTCTTTAAAAAAAGCAATAGGGTACAGATTTAGTTTATTTTTCACTTATCTATATTTATATAAGAAGTCTGAATTTTCTAATTGTGATGTTTAACACATTATATATGACAGTTCTCTTACCTGCAGTGATCATGGATTTAAAGCAGGACTTCTGGTCTATTCGTGGCCATATAATATACTTTGCCTTTGGTCTTTTGTGTCGTAATGTTAAGAAACATAGGGTTAGACTCATACCAGTTGCCATAGGAACTACAAAGCAGTTGGCTACTGTATGGGCACCTACAAATAAGAAGCAAAACGGAAATCTGTTATCCCACTAAATACCCAGCACCCTTCTTGAAGAAATAATATACTTCATCTACAAACTAATAAAAGTTGTAGCCCTATTGCTTCTGTTTCTGTACTCACTCCCAGGAAGTTCAATGCCAAATTCAACTTCTGGGCTTATGGCTCTGATTTTCTATCTTATTCTAAGATATTTTATTTTTTAAAAATACTCTTTTTTGGAAAAGGGCAATAATAAAGGAAATGTGTCAATGGTGTGTTGTGTGTCCAGTCAGCCAAAAGTATTATGATTAAGATAGTACATACCAGCCAGCTTGATAATGTCCAGGACCAAAGAATTGGTAATTTTGTTCAAAAGGCTAGAGCCTGCAGCTTTTGGTTGCACAGCAGAAATATCACCCGATCGTCCAATCCCATGAATGAACCTAAGCAAAAAATGAGCCAAAAACTGGGCAAATACATTCAGCATTCTAAGTAATACAATGTACAAGTACGCAAATAAAATAACCAAAAAAACAACAGGAGCAATATTTGGCTGTTACAGATACATGTTGTAAACTATTAACGATGTGGAACTTAAATTGAAACAACTTTATCAATCATGCTGTGATAGCTGGTTTCCAAAGGCAGCCACCATCAATTCTTTTTCTCCCTATGCCCACATGCTACTCCCACACCAAGTGATGGTGTCTACTTCCCCTACTGAATCTGGGCTGACCTTAATGACTTGCTTGGCCAGGAAGAATCTAGCAGAGTGACTGTGTGAAATTTTCATGCTAGGCAAACCTTCAGATGACTAAACTCTCAGCTAGTATCTGACTGCAACTACATGAGAATCCCAAAGCAATACTCACCCTGCTGAAACCAGTTAATCCAAAGAACTATGAGAGATAATAATAAACAAATGTTTTCAGCCACTTAATTTTAGGGCAGTTTGTTCTGTAGCAATAGAAAACTGGAATATATGAAACATTAAATTATCTTTTTTCTTTCCTTTTCCCCTAATCACATAGTGGACTAAGTTCCAATGAAGATAAGCTGATGTTCAAATATTGCCTTCATTTTAAAAGAACTATATGCTCCTAGAAAATCAGAGTGCAAATCTACTCATTTTAAATCAGATGATATTATACATTGTTTAGATACATCTGAATATTCCTTAAAATAAAAAAAAAAACCCTTTTGTAATTTGAGTAATTTCTGATTGACAGTAAAACATATCAGAATTTCTGCACAGGGGGATTATCAAAGAATACTAGTGTTGTACTTCCTCACCACTGAAATCTCATGTACAAAACATTTGTTACATATATTACCCACCATGTTATCAGCAAACTGTTAACTGAAATTTTCATCTGAATTAGGCACTATCATCAGTTTTGACTGCAGTGGTTTTGACTGCAATATAAATTCTACTAGGCCCAGGAAATTTTCATTATAATATAAAAGCATGGAAGACAGTAGTTTTATTTAAAAGAGTTTACACTTTACAGAAAGGTTAGTGGACAAAGAAATAAGTGATCATATTTGGAACAACTACCAATTAAATTGTTAGTTTAAATGAATTGTTAGAATAAATGAAAAGTTTTCTTCAATAACGCAAAAGAGAAAAGTCACTTAATAATCTATTATACTTATTGCAACAGAGAGGTATTTATAAAATGGGATGCAGTTTAAACACAGTTTAAAACAAAGTTTAAAAGTTCTAACTATAAATCATTCTCAAAAAAACAAAAACCCTACCAATGTTAGAAAAGAAACATGGAAAACTATAAACAGCCTTAACGGATTTTAAACTTTTAAAACCAGATATGTTTATCAGGGTAACAATTCCTAACAAAACGTATAGCCTGTGTTGTTCACCCAGAACCTTACAGGGTAACCCTCATATATTTTTAGTCTATTGTCTTTGAAAAGCACTTGCTGAGATAAAATTGTTTCCATCTCCCTGTTGCATCTGGTTTACATATCCATTTGAGCAGGGGAGAAGTGGTTTACAAACAGACATTTGATAATCTAATAAGATGAATACTGCTGTCATTGTTTTGAACCCAAAATAAATAAACGATAGGCGACCCGTACTACTTAAAAAAAGATACCTGTAATGACGACGAGCAACTAATGCGGATGCAACTCTCCCTTCCCTTTCTCCCACACCACAATTGCCTAAGAAATTGTTGCTGTCCATGATTGCAAGTTCATGTAAAAAGAGTTCAAGTGTACTTTCATCCCAGCCATTCTCTGGACATTTGCCCTTAAACAAAAAAAAAAGTATGATTATATTTAATAAAACTATGGTTCTCTAGAAAACAACAGGAATACATTTTCACTTTTTAATGTGTATTTTGCCATGCTCTTTGTTTGCTAAAATTCAGGCATAAATTCAGCACTATATAGAGACCGCAAATAGACAAAAAGTTTGTACATTTGATTACAATTATTAATAGGTTTGGAAAAGTGATGATAAATGCATACGATGACATTTACTCAGATATTTAAATTTTCATAAGTGAAACTAACTGAAAACCAACATGCCCCAACCCCGATGAAGATGCTTCAAACCAGGGCGTTATGATTGGGGGGTGGGGCGTGGAAGAGAGCAGTGGCTGTCAAACTTCAATTAAATATTGTCTCACGCCTGTAATCCCAGCAGTTTGGGAGGCCGAAGCGGGCGGATCACTTTAAGTCAGGAGTTTGAGACCTGCCTGGCCAACATAGTGAAATCCCGTCTCTACTAAAAACAAAAATTAGCCGGGTGTGGTGGCACACGCCTGTAATCCCGGCGACTCGGGAGGTTGAGTGAGGCACGAGAATCGCTTGAACCCGCGAGGCGGAGGTTGCAGTGAGCCGAGATTGCGCTATTACACTCCAGCCTGGGAGAAAGAGCGAGACTTTGTCTCAGAAAAAAAAACACACACACACAACAAAACTTGCAGTGAAATTAAAATTCAGGAACGCAGACAGGAGGGACGGAAGACCCGTGAAGTTCCGCGGAAACCTCGTAGTTCGAGTTAGCATACAGAGGTCTACAAACACCTTATGTGCTCTGAGTCCTACAGGGTGGTGAAAGACGGAGGCGCGAACTTTGCCCTTCCGCAGAAAAAAAAAAAGTAAACTGGAACTTTCCCTCACTTTTGCATCCCGAAGTTAGAAACAGCGGGAGTCAAAACCCCTACCCCAACGCCCCCTCCTAAGAACAGCCTTTGTCTTTCACTGGCTTTGGCAAGGCTGAGAAGGCACAGACCGCAGTCAGTCAGCGAGGACGAGCCAAACTGAGACAGACTCGGGACTAGTCTCAAGCAGCAAAGAGCTTCCGAAGAGGAAACACCAGGAGGGACGCCGGGTGGAGCCTGAGCCCCGGGGTCGCGGCGGCTGGGGAGGGGACCGACAGCTCGGTACCTTCTCCAGAAGCAACCGTATGAGGTGCTCATGCGAGCGGCGGGCCTCACAGCCCTGCCTCACGTAAGCCGGCGACACCAGTCGCTCGCCCGCCGCGAAGCTCTCGCGGTTCATGACGGCGGTGGCGACCGTGGTCAGTGGGAGAACCAGCTCCACACACCAGGGACACGACAGAACCAGAATGCAACTCGCCGCCTGGACGGTACGGCAGCGCCTTGGGACAAAAAAAAAAACACAACAAGCCACCAACCACTTCTCGCTCCTGCACATGCGCAGATCGTCTCAGATGGCGCGAAAGGAGGACGTTGGAATATTTGAGCATGCGCAAGGGAGCCCGCGCTTTTCGCTGACTTCGGGCAAAGGATGAACTGCAATTAGCCCCGCCCCGCTGCAGCTGATTGGTCTAGTTAAACCCTGGTATTCCTGACAGGAACTTCAAGAAAGGATTTTGCGCTTGTGCAAATCCGGCGAGCCGAGTAACGACCAGATACATGGGGTCTTCTAGGTTGTTCTGTGTTCCAGTCCTGTTGGATGGTTGAGATCTGTGCAGAGTTTGTGCTTTTGCCTTATTTAAACTGATTGTCAGATGCCAAACAGTTCCACACTTATTACTGCCTGACAATCCCATAGGAAATAACAGTGCCCCGCTCCTTTTCCCCTTTGCACTACTCAATGTTTAACCATAGCACTTACCACTCACCACGTGACATGCCAGGCGTTCGTTCACACACACACCCACACACACCCGTGAATGTAAACTCTCTAACCTAACGGCAGGGACTTGGTTTTTGCTGCAGTGCCCTCCACCCCAGGCACCTAAAACAGAATAAAGCAAAGCCTTAAAAAATCGATAATGAATTAACGAATTACTTTTGACCGTTCTGAAACTGTCCCCAAGAACATTTTGTAAAATTGATTAAGGGGGAAGAAAAATTCAAGTAGGCTTACAGCTGCTATTATTAAGCCAGCTTGCCTTATGGCCGACTTTCCTGTAACTGATTGCTATTTACTACCCTAGAAGAATGTGGCCCTTGTCACAAGACTCTTCATTCTTTTTCTGTTTTATAGATAAAATCTAAGACATTGTGAGAAGGTAAGCTTTCTGTTTGCTTGGCTTCTTTAGGTTCTGCAGAACAACAAAACTAAGGATGCCAGCTTGTCTGGAAGGCCCAATAAAAAGCTGATTCTTGGAGAAATGCAGTTGTCACATCCTGATGATTTCATCCCCTTACCCCTATAAATTGATGACCCCAAGTTTTCCTTTCACTGTCCAGAAACCCCCTTAAAAACCTTTGCCTAGAAGCCCTTGATGAAATGGATTGAAGCTTGAGAATTCTTCCTGTTTCCTGGCTTGTAACTTGTGATTATTAAACTCCTTCTCTGCTGCAACCCCACTATCTGTATATTGGTCTGTTCCTGCACAGCAGGCATAGAAACCTGGCAGTCCTGTAACAATTCAACAACCTAGAGGTTTATTGCTGGAGATCTCTGCCTTCAGTTGCCTTACAGTCTTCATCTTATGTGAGCCTACGGTAATTTCTGACATTGCTCTCACTTGGTGGTATGCCCACTTGCACTGATTCACATCACTTGCAAGAGATGATTGTTAAGTGTTCAGTAACTTTGCGAGCTAGTTTTTAAATACAGCCACTCAAAAATTAAATTATATTAAAATCAAAAGTAAAAATACTCAAAATCCATCACTTCCGAATTATTTTACTCCATTTTACTATTATGTATGCTCTTCAGGTTATTTACATGCGTTTTATCTATATGGTGGAAATTCAATATAATGTACTACTGCACATCTTCCAACTCCACTTTTGATGATGTCATGTTGGCCACGGTGGGAGCATTTACACCATGAAAATCAGTAAACACTGCAAATCAAGCCCTTACCCTCCAATCCACTCCCCTAGAAGTCTGTTGTTCACAATGTACCAGCTCATCACTGTTTCTACTGTGTGTTCCCAGGGCATCCAGCTATTAATATACATCAGTCTACTTATGATATTTGTTGAATTGCATTTCAGTTGTTAATTTTCTCTCTCAACTAGACTGTGAGCTTCTAGTTGACAAGGGCTATATTGATACCTGTGTTCAAAGCCCAGCACTAAATACATAATAGGTGTTTGATAAATATTTGTTGAATGACATAGACCACTTAGCTACATAAAACTAAACAGAAAGGTAAACCACAAAACAACAAGAATTTTGCTTACTTTCTAAAATGAATATTATCTTTTAGACTTGCAGAAAGTTGAGTTCTTATTCTCAAAATGCAACTATTTTTGCAACTTCTTTGGAAAGGCCTTCAAAGCTGCTTTGTCAATCACATGCAAAATGTGCAAAAATCCCAAAATTAACCTCATTACTAAATGGACTGCTAGGTTTTTGAGCCAGCTTGTTCTCTCACCTTATTCACCATCCTAATTCAGAAAAATGTTTGTGTGTTTCCAAAAATTAACTAACCATCATCAAGATATGCATTTGTTAAAAGTATTCCAAAGATGCCAGCTTTGGAAGAAATTTCAAGAGAAGTATTCCAAAATTATTTTCGTCCATTCACCACCCAACAACTATTTATTAATTACATATTATTTTTATTTATTTATTTATTTTTTTTTTTGAGACGGAGTTTCCCTCTTGTTACCCAGGCTGGAGTGCAATGGCGCGATCTCGGCTCACCGCAACCTCTGCCTCCTGGGTTCAGGCAATTCTCCTGCCTCAGCCTCCTGAGTAGCTGGGATTACAGGCATGCGCCACCATGCCCAGCTAATTTTTTGTAGTTTTAGTAGAGACGGGATTTCACCATGTTGACCAGGATGGTCTCGATCTCTTGACCTTGTGATCCACCTGCCTCGGCCTCCCAAAGTGCTGGGATTAGGGCAGCATCAGAATAATCTCATGGTCTTTACGAGATGAAGCATCATTTAAAATAGGTCCAGAACACACAGGTTTAAATTCTGCTAGTGTCACTAGTTGTATAACCTTAAATACATTACTCAAACTTCCTGAGCTTTGCTTTCCTCAGCTGTAAAATAGGGATATGAAAGAGGCAGTTACTATGATTAAATGAGAGGTAATTGCTCAATGACATCTTCTTGATAGACTGACTATACACATGGATAACGGCCAGATCATATATGATAACAGAACTCTCACCCACAACCTGTTTAGCAACCAGCCTTCCAAACCACCACCACTGCGGCAATCAGCCAAGAATGGTTAAGTCTTGGACAATGACTGCTAGCTTCCCTCTTTTATTACTGCTTCTAACTTAAGGCCAACCAGAGAAGGCCAAATAGGCTCCTTTAAAAAAATCACATAAGGGGCCGGGCATGGTGGCTCATGCCTGTAATCCCAGCACTTTGGGAGGCCGAGGTGGGTGGATCACGAGGTCAAGAGATCGAGACCATCCTGGCCAACATGGTGAAACCCCGTCTCTACTAAAACTACAAAAAATTAGCTGGGCATGGTGGCACGTGCCTGTAATGCCAGCTACTCAGGAGGCTGAGGCAGGAGAATTGCCTGAACCCAGTAGGCGGAGGTTGCAGTGAGCCGAGATCGTGCCATTGTACTCCAGCCTGGGTAACAAGAGCGAAACTCTGTCTCAAAAAAAAAAAAAAAAAAAAAAAAATCACATAAGATGCCCTGTTTCTAGTCAGGCAACCTCTAGTTTCTCCTTGCCAACAGCTCCAATCAGCACACCATAATTCTTCCCTTTACCTGAATCTTTCACTATAAAGCTTTCCCACTCTCCTGCCTGCCTTTGAGACTCTGACAAACACAAGTGATGGCGGCTGACTCCCTTCTCTAACAAGCCCTGATTTTCTACAGTTTTCCCAAAGACTCCACTGAGACATGGTCTGTGCTGTCCATGGCTGTGGACCTCAGCCTTCGGCCACTTGTGCCCACAGGGGCTCCTTGTGCCTCGTTGCTATGGCTTGTCAAGTCCATGCCAACATGGTAAGTCAGTGGTGGCTTGGAACTCCTCCCTCTTTGCCTTGAGTTCCTAAACTATTCATTTGAAGTTTGATATTTGGATTCTGTTATTGGTTACTGTTTTCATCCTTAGTGGAATCAGGCAACTCCTTTTCATCCTTTGTGCTGTCCTATGTACTTCTCTTTCGTATTGTGCTGTTTAAAGTGTTTCCCATAAGAAGGAGAATCCTAGGATTAGAACATGGTCATGGGCCCTACAACCCTGTTGTTCAAGCCAGTTTCACAGATCGATGAGTTTGCAGTTCTCACTAGACTACATCCATTTGGACAAACTTTGTTGTGAGTCACCAATAAAACTGGATGAGGTTCTCCCTTCATCTTGATTTTTTGTCCTGTGGGCTTGCTTTTGATCCAAAGAAAGAGGTTATTCTGAGATTCTTCCTGCCAGGGGGCACAGATTGTCCAGTCTGTGTCCAAAAGGGGCAAAAATCAGGCTGGGTGCTGAGACAAAAAAAGCAGAGCATAACTTTCAACATGGTAGCCAGCCCTCATGGGGTGTTCTAAGTCTAAATTGTCTATGTCCTCTCCTTCACCAGGAAAAACTTCTGCTTCTTATACATACTCTCATTACAATCCTAATGCTTGTGCCTATCTCTCTAAGTGGCATAACTTCAGCAATGAGGAGTTGGGCCTTCAGTAGCCACTCTGGGGACCACTTGACTTGAACAAAATTTTTTATTTGATGGGCAACTTAGAAAAGAAAGGGAATTAAGATTTCTTAGGCCTCACGGGCAACAGTTTTTGCGCGATACACAGAGGGCTCCACAGGAAATTCTGATTCAATAATTATTCCACTAAATCATGCTTTGGCCAAAGCTAACAGGCAATTTGACAAACATAAGCAACAACAACCTAGACTCATTTACCAGTAAATCTTCCCCTTTGGGTTGGCCCCGTATATCCAGATGTCCCCCTTCATCCCTTAGCCTTCTGATCTCTCTCTTTCTTCACTTTCATCAACTCTCCCCTTCTCTTCCTCTTGTCCAGGCCTCCTGCATTTTCTCAACAACTCCCCTAAAACTCCAGAATGTCGGTTGCTTCTAAAGATCCATCTCCCCTCAAAAGCAAGGTATTCAGGCAACTGCAGAATTTAAACTTTGCACCCAAGATGAATTAAGAGCAATAATCAAGGACTTCTCTACTTCCAAACAAGACCAGCAACTATTTGTAGAAGAATTTAGGATTTATTTGAGTTCATATGATTCAGGGTTACCTAACCTAAATATATCAATGTATATATATATTGGCTAGATCCTCAGGTGTTAAATCTCAAATTTAAAGAAAAGCTGGTTGGACTGACATGGGTAGGGA